CTAGTCCCCTCAATATCTCTATGCCGATCACCTCTTTATATTCCTCCATGCAGCCCCTTAAATCATTTATCTCCTTTTCATTGGCAAAAGTTTATTCACTTTCGAGATAACTCCACTTTCATTTCCATTCTGCATTCTTTTCTACGTCCCCCGAGCACATCTAGGTGTTTCTTCCTCCGTGCCAGCCAGCCTGTCATCTTGCATTTGTCTTCATTACAACAAGGATTCCTTCGCATTCCATTTGCCACTTTGTCTGACAGCTTCTCGGCCAATCTGCAAGTTCCTCGGAGGCAGGAACCATTTTCTATTTATTGTTATACACCCCGAGCATAGAGTAACACTTTCCCCCTGCGAGCTGACATTTTCACCTTCATTAATATCTCTGGTGCCTACCACTTGAGGGTTATTTTTCCTCCTTCGGCATTTAGCTAAAATGCACTTTCTCATTAAAAAAATTCCCCTGATTGGACTCACTTCACTGTAATTACTCATTCATTTTATTACGTCCTCGGTGTGTGCGTTCAAATGGTTTAGATTCTATTCTTAATTCTAGCTCAACCACCTTATGTATTTAAGGATCACTGTTGAAACCATGATTGCAGAGCTCTTAAAAATTAATTTCCTTTAAAATATCCATTTTTTTCCACTCAAAGAAATGGTTAGACTCCTGTTAAACATACTCTTGCCCACCCTAAACCAAGCACCCAAGTAACAGAAACAGAAATGAAGAACAAAAAGCCACCTAAACTTTCAAGACCAAAGAGAAGATATCCAAAAATAATTGGAGCTAAGAACTGGTTAGAGACATAAAGCTTAAATTTCTCGATGTAAGGGAGGCTCCCCTCCTGCTCCACCCAGAGGCTTTCCCTTCATCTCCTTTGTTTCTTCCTCGTGGACAGGGCAGTGATGTCCAGCCCTACGAAAGGCTTGAGAAGAGCCAGATGGTATCAACTTGCCCACAGAGCTTCTGAGGTGGATTAGCCCTTGTAGTGTAGCAGTTTGGGAGAGGAATAAAAGAGAATGGCAGCCAAAATATTCAGGAAAGGGTTGCTTGTTTGTTTGTGTAATGTGCTCAGGGTCTGAAAGCTCTGAACAGAAGTAAACAAAGGGAGAGGGGATTCTGCTACCCTCATTTGTACTCCCTACACTGCACGCTGCTCTTCTTTCCTTGCTAGAGGCTCTGCTTTCCCTAGCCAGTCAATAAGTTCCTGGAGATCATCAGCCGCCTGTCACATGCTTCTTTTGTATTCTCTAAACCTTTCAGCACACCGAGTACACAGTGTATGCTCAAGAAACACTGTTGACGCACTGATTACTACGTAGTTAACTATTTTCCTTCCCTGGCAAATTTTCAGGAATGCCTATTATTCACAAAACCGTGGCGTCTTGGAAGCCAAAAGGAAGCAACCATCTGTTGGTATACATTTTTCCTTAGCTATGCGTTATACAGAGATTTCCTTTGGAAAAATAAACAAAGGATGCTTGATGAGCCAGGACAAAGAACTAAATATAGAGTTCAAGTGGCCAGAGTATCAAGGTCAAAGCATGCCCTTCCTTAGCCAGATTAAAGGAGAGCTATGGGCCTGCACTGAGCTCTTTCCTGTGTTCTCCAGCTCCAAATGAAATGATTTTCAACCACCTATTCTGGGCATTCTACTAGCTGAGCCTCAAGTGTAAGATACATAGAATTCATCTAATAATCCTGCAGTGATCTTAATGTCTGTCTCTGTAATAATAGGAAGAGCCCAGCTTTGTTTACTTTCCGAGGAGAATAGAGAACAGAGGACAACTAGAATAGGAGGCAGTATTTATGGACTCTTTATGAGAAGTCGGTCTGTGACAAAAACACTCCCAAACAATAAGGAAGGGGAACAGGTTTGGCAGGAATATAACCTATTCCTGTTCTTGCCAAAGTGTTGTAGCTGGCATCTTCCACCACTGCCCAATGCGAAGTGCTTGAATTACACTGTGAATATAGTAGTCATTCTCTACAGACAAATCTAGATGAGATAAAAATGGGGGGTGGGGAATCCAGACACCATTCAGTGTCTGGCTCTCATAATTAGCATTATCCTACTATTTATTTCATTGTATAAAGTACTTACAAGTGTTTTTGAACTCTCAAGTCCCTTCTTTACTGCATTATTAATCCCGGGGCTTGTCCTGAAGCCTTTTGGACATACAGGCTCTGTGTTAAATGAGTATAATAGGCAGCCTGCATGCACCCTATTATTAAAGGGGAAGGTGAGGGCCTATCTCTTAAGGTTTCAGAAAAAGATGATGTCATAAAGAACAGCCATGAACTCCAGAAACCCTCCTGGAGGGCCCCTGTTTAGGACAGGATCTTAAAAAATATGAATGTGTTGAGAATTTACACCATAGATTTTAATCACATTCACCCACAAACCCTTTCCTCGAACTCCTCTGCCAGACTCGCTGCCACCTCGTTACCACCCTCCTAACTTCATTCAGGAGAGAATCCTGAACTGAGCGGACTATACATTATTAACTCCTAAACTACAGAATCATGTTCAACACTCTTAGATTGTCTCACTGCTCTTTGTTGGTTCCCAGTTAATGTTTCTATTCCATTATCTATAGCTCCTGTACAGGTGTAACCACACCAGAGGGGATTTTTACAGTGTGTGAGCCATCCTGTGTGCAGATAGGATGCCTAAGCTATTTTCCTGTACCTAGCATGATGCCATACATTAAAAGCTAGTAGCAAAAGCTGCTCTTTTGTGTAGCCAGAGCAGACAGTGGCTGACATAATGAGATTTAACAAGCATCCCTAAGGGTGCTATTTAAATAGCTACTTTGCTGGATCACCATGGGATTTCCACTTACTTTACTTACGCATGGTAGTGGTAGCACTTCTTCCTCAAGGTACAGGTTAACTTCTGAGTGCTAACTTCAGAAAGCTACTTTGGAACTTTGCATCATAGCCCACTTCTTGGGCTATGATATTGCTCCCTGGTATAAAACACTTGCCTAGCATTTGCCCCAGCACCCAAAGAAAGAAAACACACCTGTTATCCAAAGGTCAGAGTGCATCTTCCCCTACTAACACAATGGTGGATTATTTTATGAGGCCTGCTGCTACCACTTCAAAAGAACAGAGCAAATAATAAAAAGAACTGGTTTCCAGAATGGCCTGTGAAAGGTTGGAAGTGTGCTATGCTTAGGCGAGGCTGGCCAGGATGATACATTTCCCGGGGATCAGGAAAAGAGATTCTAACATGAAAGAGCAAAGGGATAAACTACAACTTTGCTTTTTTCCTTATTACTTTCTCTGTACTTAATAGTCTTTTGATTAGAACAAATGCAAGGACAGTTTTATTTTTTAATCATATTTTATTCACTATTATCTGTTACTCCCCTGTTAATCATGCAAATTCTAAACTGAGGGATCCCTCATTCAATTTTCTGCTTCCAATCCTCTCTTGTCCCCTCAACACTGGAGATTTCTTACACTGTAATCTGACAGCATAATCAGAAGCGTTGATAAAAATGGAACACAGAGGGATTCCGATTGGCTGAAAACTACTCAGAAATAATAACTTTCTACTTTGTTTTTTCTTCTCGGAAAGGGTGAGACCATAGAGAAAAAGAACAAAATAAAAAGAAAGTAACCATTGACAGAGCCATGACTTGCGAAATCTGGAAAAGAAGCCAAAAGCGTGGTGTCAGTTCAACTTGACATTTTATAGGTAAGGACACTGTCAGGGGTCCTAACCTACTTACCCTCATGCAAGCACTTAGTTCATAGAAGAGGCAAGTCAGGAATTCAGTTTTCCAACACTCCAATGCTTCTTCTCTTTTTCTTTATGCTTCTCCCTATACCCACAACATCCCATTCTATAGTTTCACATGTGAGTTTAACCAGTACCCCATGGACTCTACATAGATTAGTGCCCAGCAGGGATTATATTACTAGCATATGTTCATCATTTAAGTATGTTCGCTATACTAGAAGAAGCCAAAAACTTTAAGAATATCAACCAGTTGGGGGATGTAGGATTACTTATTTCCTTAGGAGATATTCTTTGGTCTTAAACAGGAACCACAGACTGGGATCATGATAAAATTATTTTATCATTTAAAACAAAACAAACTTGATCTCTGATACTTAACTGTCATACAAGTATGATTAAGAGTGGATTTAAAAACTCTATATAGAATCAGGAAAAAATTACCCAATCACTGCCCATGACAAATCCTCTATTTTACTGGTCTGTATTTAGATTTTAAGTATTATTATCAGTTATTCTATAAACCCACCCAAAGCAAAATGATAGATGTGGAGTTTTGTATATGCTTTTAAGAGAAAGAAGAAAGAATAACACCTTTCTTTTATGCTACCGTGTCAAGGAACACTGAACTCCCCTTCTAAGCGCTTTTAATATTCAATGCTGATAATAGTTTTAAACCTCATACTTATACAGAATTATACAGTTCATAATTCACAGACAATTTAATCATAGACATTATTTGTTGACTACAAAAAGACTAGGTAGGGGGAATCAAAAATAAGTGAAAAGATAATGAGTGAGGATATAGCTAGGCCCAGGGCTGTGGGATGAAGAAAAAATAAGCTAGAAAGGGAGGAAGCAGTGATGATCAGAACGTCGTACTGAATGAACATAGCCCCATCCTAAGGATTCATGATCCCAAATTGACCAGTAATGATTGACTTTTTAAGTGATAACATCCATTTTGATGAGGACACTTCCTATATGATTCTCATACCATCAACTGTGTGGAAAGAAGGGAGTTACTCTTTATCTGTTGTTCCCCACAAACCATCACCATCACCTAGTTCTAAAAATCATCCATATCAGTGACTTTTCTTTGAATAAAATTCCTAAAGGCATGAGATCATCTATACTACCAGTCCTTGGCCCCAAATGACTGGGCTACAGGCTGGCAAAATTGAAGTTCCTCCAAAGACGATCCAGTTCAGATCCAACGAAAGAATTACAAATATTACTGTTACCTACCTCAACCTGCTGGCAGATCTGTATTAGTTTGGCCATTTGATTTTCTAGTTCGCTGTTGCGCTTAACCAGGTTGGTGAGGTTCATCTCCAGAGTTTGCTGCCATCACAGAGGGTATGAAGCCGGCGAGAAACAGGAGAAAGGGAAAAAAAGAACAATGAACTTGAGAACCAATGTAATATGAAAATCAATAAGCCAAAAGACAGAGTTCCCTGCCTCTTTGGGAGGGGGGGGTCACGAAGGTGAGACAGAGCCTCACTCTATAACCCATGTTTGCTTCATACTTAAAATGACTCTCCTGCATCAGCCCATAAAGTCCTAGGACTGTAGGCGTGAGCTTTCTCCATGGATATAGAACTGAAGGCCTCAGACATGCTAAGAAAGTGCTGTACTACTGAGCAACACACCACCAGCTCAGTAGATTCATATCTTCCAGATTTACCAAGTCTGCTACAGACTAAGAATTGTAAATGTTCCCTGATTGGGGAGGAGGTAGAATTCATGACTTTGTAGGCTACTGTAGGAATTTACTGACATTAAGGCAACCTATAGTTTTTATAATTTTATATTATCTTTAACTTTTCAAACCATTTCATAGCCATTTCCTTTTGCTCTCTAATCAGGTCCAGTTAACATAAGAAAATAAGGTGGTGATACCACCATTTTATTCATAGACTAAGAAAACTATAATTTGTATGTGTGTGTGTGTGTGTGTGTGTGTGTGTGTGTGTGCATGAGAGGTGCATGCTTGTGTGCGAGGGCACATACATGTGTTGTGTACACACTTGTGAAGACCATGGGCCAACTTGGGATTTTGTTCATCAGGGGACATCCACATTGCCTTTTAAGAAAGAAGACTCATTTGCCTGATGCTCACCAATCAGGCTGGCTAGTCAGGGAACCCCAGAAATCTGCCGGTCTCTGCCTCCTCAGCACTGGGGTTACAAGTCCACACCATCCTACCCAGATTTTCTCCATGGGTCCTGGGGATCATACTCAAGTCTTCATATTTGCACAGCAAGCAGTTTACCAACTGAATTGTTTCCCTAGCCTCATAATTGAATGAATGATTGCTTCTTGCCAGACAATTTCGTATGTATTGGTACTATAGCACTCTCACAAAGAAGGATATGCTAGCATTTTAATGAGGAAAAAAGTGGATATCGCCCTGGGCACCTGGGAGCCCCTCTAACTCAAAGTCTCTTGCCAACCCTAAGATGGCTCCCTTAATTAAGATATGTGCTTCCCTGCTCCCCTATCCAACCTTCCTTTATCCCAATCATCCCGTTTCCCCAAGTTCCCCCTAACCTCCCCTTCTCACTTTTCTCTCCCCATCTCCCCTTACCCCCCTCCCACCCCACCCCCAAGATCCCAATTTTTGCCCGGCAATCTTGTCTACTTCCCATAACCAGGAGGATAGCTATATGTTTTTCTTTGGGATCACCTTCTTATTTAGCTTCTTTAGGAAATCAAATTATAGACTCACTGACCTTTATTTATCTCTAGAAACCAATTATGAGTGAGTACATCCCATGTTCATCTTTTTGGGTCTGGGTTACCTCACTCAGGATAGTGTTTTCTATTTCCATCCATTTGCATGCAAAATTCGAGAAGTCATTGTTTTTTACCGCTGAGTAGTATTCTAATGTGTATATATTCCACACTTTCTTCATCCATTCTTCCATTGAAGGACATCTAGGTTGTTTCCAGGTTCTGGCTATTACAAATAATGCTGCTATGAACATAGTTGAACAAATGCCCTTGTCATATGATCGGGCATCTCTTGGGTATATTCCCAAGAGTGGCATTGCTGGGTCCAGGGGTAGGTTGATCCCGAATTTCCTGAGAAACCGCCACACTGCTTTCCAAAGTGGTTGCACAAGTTTGCATTCCCACCAGCAATGGATGAGGGTACCACTTTCTCCACAACCTCTCCAACAATTTGATATCCTAAAGAAGCTAAATAAGAAGGTGATCCCAAAGAAAAACATATAGCTATCCTCCTGGTCATGGGAAGTAGACAAGATTGCCGGGCAAAAATTGGGATCTTGGGGGTGGGGTGGGAAGTGGGTAAGGGGAGATGGGGAGAGAAAAGTGAGAAGGGGAAGTTGGGGGGATCTTGGGGAAACGGGATGATTGGGATAAAGGAAGGTTGGATAGGGGAGCAGGGAAGCAC